CAGTTCAAGAGATGTGTTTTATAGCATTGGAAATGCGTGTGTGGCTTGTGGCTTGTGGCTTGAATAATACCTGCTCATAAAAAGGATGTTGTTTTATGCAATGGGAACTGAAGACTTCATGCCTGTTAGCCCTGCTCGTACTGTGCTGCTGTGGGCTGACAGCCCTTTCCCTTCAAAAGATAGTTTCTATGGTAGGCTTACAGCCACATCATGCTTGCAGGGGAGCACAGAAGGAGCAGGAAGAGTCCAGATCTCCAGTGACTTCTTCAGAAGTGTAAACCATTCCCCTTTGGCTTCAAGACTGAGACTGTTAGCATAAAATAAGAGGGAAAACCTCTTTTGTATTAGGGCTGGATTATGGCCATACCCATACGGCTTTCCTTCTGTCACAGAAGGTTTTTCTGCTGCCAGACAATCAAGATGGCCAAACTGCTATGTTATACCCTTCTTACCCACTGCGTGTGGTCATATGGCAACAGGGCAGCACTGATAGCATTGTCTCCCCTGCTACCTCTGCCAGTTTGAGGAGGTTCATGGCCCTTCAGCCTTTGTCTCAGGGAACTAGTCCTGCAATTTCATCAAAGAACCATCTGCATTTTACCCTCATCTTGCAGAGGCAGAAACAAACATAAAAGTCCCACATGCTTAGTAAGGCTATCTGTTGGTTATGAAAGTAACACAAGGAACCAAAAGCACAGCTCAGTGCTGTGATCCCTACACCTGGTGTAGGGAACCTGCTTAGGCAGGGGGGTTGGACTCGATGATCTCTGGAGGTCCCTTCCAACCCCTACAGTTCTGTGATTCTGTGACTGTGGTCCATCCAGAATGGCTGAGAATGGGAGTGAGAATATAATTGTTATCATCATTCATATGCATGCATGTGCACTGGTTGAAAACTGTTCTGTGTGCCAACTGTTCTGGGCTTTTTTGTTTTGCTTTGCTTTGTTTTGTTTTTAATACTACAATTCCTTCAGTTACTTCTAATGTTTAGTCCTCAAAAGGACAGTACTGGGGTAAAAGTACTTCCAAAGCCCACCGAGAGACATGAATGCAAATTCTCCGTTCTGAATATAATCCAGCTGATAAAATATAGTGCTCATTTTGGTTAGGAAAAGCTCTTAAAGTCCAAAATTCCTTCAAAATGAGTTTTAGAATTCAAAGGTTTCAGACTCCAGCCAGATCCTGGCAGACCTCACAACATCCTTTGATAAACGGCTTGGAAATCTTTGCCCAAAAACTGTGAGCAATTGGCAGGAGAGAGTAGAGATTCTGAGCAGTTGTCCCTCACCGTATTTAGCTGCATACCTCCAGGACTCCTACAGTATTATCCGACTTCAGGTGAGCTGCAAGACTTCTGCTAAGCAGAAATGCTGCCTGCAGAAAGATAGATAGATAAAGGAGTACAGATACGAGTGCTTCAAACGAGAGATAAGAAATAACAGTTCGGGATAAATGATCCATCACCACCACAGGAAATACTGTACAAATATACTGTGTGGGAAGATTTTAAAATCTGTCCTTTCTCTGCTGAAACAGTCTTTAAAGCGCATGATTTCCAATGAGCTTCGCAGCAATTACAAGAAAATTACTTTCCCTCCTCCCTGTTCCTGAAAATCTCTGTTTTACTTTCATTGGAACTGACACAGCAAATGGTCCCTGTTCATCCTGTGTCCTGGAAAGCACTGCAGAGATCCAGTAAGCTGCACCAGCCCCATCACAGCATGTATACAATTTGTTAAAATTTACAAAATTACCAGCTTTCCCCTATCTTGTTACACACTGAGCCATCTATCAGTATGTCACTGATGTTATTTGCATTCTCCAATAAAACAAATAGCAACATACTTGTAGCAATAGAAGATGCCAACAGTTTAGGATGTAAGCCAGACTTCTTCAACTCAATTAAGAGAGAGCTAAATTTTAAGCAAGACTGTAGCTTCAATCTGCCCTTTGCGTGTGGCATCTTAATTAGCTAATAAAAATCTCCGAGGTCAGCTACGCTGACAGGAGTTATTTGTTCTGATCCAGTATTCACCCACAAGACATTTGAGTCCTGCTGGAGCCACAGTTTGTCTTTCAGGTGACAGAACACTGCTCGAAGGAGGCCAGCATGGCCTGCCTGTAACTCACTGAGAGCACAGCTCCTGGTTTCTCTGTCAGTGCAGACAGAGAAGTGCAAGCAGGGTCTCTTTGCCCAGCTTTCCTGCTGGGTGCAAGGAAAAGCAACTCGAAATTAGAAAACATCCTGTTCCCTCTGTCAAGCATTTCCCCAATCTAGTGTAAGATTGCTGCTCCTTCCCCAGATCTGCAACTGAGCTGACTTGTGGAGCAGAAGTAGCACACAAGTGGTTCTCCACGGGGCGCAGTGTGAAATGTCTCTCTCAACCCAACTCATTAAAAATTACAGACAAGCATTAAAGTTAGGAATTAAACAGATTAGAAATTGTGAAACACAAAAAGCTTCCAAGAAGAATCACTGCGTGCCAGTTATGCCTGGAGGCTGCAGGGGCTGAAGTGAACGGTACGCATGAGAGTACAGCGTGTGCAGCACACGGCAGAGTGAGCATTAGCTCAGCAGTAGCCCATGGCTAGATGGCAGATGCTTTCGTTTCACCGATGCCCGCCAGTGATAGGGCAATTATTTTCTAAATAAATAATACTCACATTTCATTGAATCTTATGCTGCTTTGTTGCAGGGAGGCGTTTCCCTTGCTCTGCTTGTGAATGTGTCTGCTGAGGTTAGTAGGGATTTGGCCTCTGATGGGCATTTAATGAAATCTTGTATGAAGACATGGTAACTGCTGCACGCAGAGAAACAAACATGCTTTTTGCTGGCCGACTCTCCTTCAGTTTAGAAGTTCCCATTCAAAATTAATCTCATACGCTGAAAAATTGATACCATTATGATGTGTGGTTATCAGCAAGCTCAATTAAGGATCATGGTGTTCTGGCAGAACGATGATCTCTCTCATCAGAGCACAAACTAGCAAACATTGCTGCGTTTGGACTGAAGAGCTGCAGCTGAAGAGGAGCAGGAGGACACGTCTGGAAGCGGTCTGAGGAGTAATGACTAACAGCCTGTGGAAGCAAAGTGAGAAAGGAAAAGGTGGAGGGTCACGCAGCAATAGCTGATGTTAATGCTGATAGCTTATCTCATATCTGTTGGCTGGCCACAACATAAAAACTGCCGTTAAATGTCCTTGGGGACTGAGTCAGCTCCAGTGTGATATTCTTCTTTGGCAGGGGTTATGCATCATGGGAACGGGCTGCCCTAAGAGCGACAGAGAAATCCCTACTCTTGGATGTTTTCAAGACTCAGTGCGGTAAGGCTGCAGCTGAGCTGAGCGAGTGGTGGTGATGATCCTGCTTGGAGCTGCAGTGGGGACCAGAGCTCCCTTCCAGCCAGCACTGCTCTGGATCTGTGACTGAGGTCAGCTCCCGCGTTACAAACTGAAATGGACACGCTGGAAATCCTCTGTAACTGCAAAGGAAAACTACACTGTCTGCACAGCGTACAAAACTGCAGTCGGTGATGGCTCAGGGTTAACTCCGAGTCTTGTACTTGAACTCTGGCTGTTGAGCCGCTTCTGAAGGCACAGCACCAGCAGACACTGTCAGTGCCGCCTCTAGGTGGCGCTGCGCAGCAGGGAATGGCCCGCTGGGGCATCGCGCCGCGTTCCAGCGCACGCACGGCTGAAAGGCCCGACCTCCAAGCGAGCTGCCCGTTTCTTCAAATCGGTTTCTTTCGGGCTGTTAAGCTATGGGAAGTTAGCTCAGCCACATCGCATGCCATAATTTACTAGCCACTGCGTAATTCCAGGTTGTATAACCTCCCAGCCCCTGCCCATGTCCTGGTGAGGACCTCGCCGTGGCAGAGATGCGCTGCTGCACCATCAGCGATGTCAGTGAAAGGTTGCACAGGAGCCCAGAAACAGCAGGAGGTGCAGGTAGTACCAATTTAGACTTCAGTTTGGATGTGGTGCTCAGGGACGTGGTTTAGCAGAGGTTCGGGTAGAATGGTTACATTGTGGTTGGACTTAATGATCTTTAAGGGCTTTTCCAACCTGAGCAATTCTATGATTCCATTCTATTACCCTCTATCTAAATAATCTGTGTCTCGCTGGGATAGTTTCTGTTTCTTTTAAAGGTAATGCAATAGTGCTGAAATTACAGGCTGAGGTCTGTAAAATCTGTCCTACTAGCATTAGCACCATTTGACCAGCTGGAGCCTGACCCAAAGGCAATAAAAGCATAAAAGACTGCCATTGCCTTGGCTGAATATTGTCAGATTACCGTGACCACACTGCAAGGGGAATCTGCACCCTGCAATAGCTGTGTGCAGGCAGCCAGCCCCAGGGTGCCAATTTCCCAAGATGGAATATCTCATCTCCCCAGACACCAGGTCAGTACAAACATGCTTCTCCTTTGATACACAAAAGCATAATTACAGTTTGTGGAAGTGCTCCAGGAAGAGTGCTGATAGTTTTCACCTGCAAAGAAAAGGCAGCTCACAGCCTTTTGCTTCCCCCTTTCTTTCACCAAATCTCTGAGGAGCTCCCCCAGAGATCATTTTTTCACTCAGCATGTCACTGCAGACCAGCAGAGCAGGATCCACAACAGGCTGAACAGTTGGTGCTCAGCCTATGCAAAATTCCATCCAAATTCACACTTACTCTTACTTTTCACTCTTTTTTCACTCTTCCTCTTACTTTTCTCACCTCTGGGACTCGACTCAGCTGGTATTTTCAGAGCTCACAGAAGCCAGAGCAGCGACTACCCTGTCCAACCCATTTACCCCATTTTAGTGACTGGAGTCACCATCCCAGATTGGGAAGAAGTAGGTTCTCCCTCTGGAATACATGACAGAAGTTTAAATCCCTCCCTGCCTTGAATATCCAGAAATGATTGAGTCTGGGGTAGCTACTCATTCACGTATGAAATGAATCTAAATTCCAGTCTCAAAATTCTGAATTGAAACTCAAATTAACTGGAATAGCGAGTCTCTGAGGAGTGAAATCACTCAAGGGGGAGTATAGTATAAAATCCATAACCATCACTGACACTCAGTACTCCCAAACAAATGAGTTAGTTCCTGCAACAGAGAGCCACGGGGCCTTTTCCTTTCATTGCTTTACCAAGTACCTGATCTCCCCACAAAAAGCAGCACAGTTTAAGGGGAAGAGACCAGAAGCCTTTTCCCGCTTGGGGTCTCACTGGGGCAGCAGGACTGCCTGCACACAGCAGGGGGGTTGACACTAGATGATCACTGTGGACCTTTTCAATTGAGGCCATTCTGTGATTCTGTGACTGGGGCTCTGCCATGTGGTGCCAGCTCTGCCTGGCTGGAGCAGCCAGGGCTCCTGCACGAGGGATGCAGTCAGCTTGCTTGAGGGAGAAGCTGTGTTTTGGAACAAATCTGCTGATGGAAAGCCTGAGCTGAGGGCAGGTCCCTAGTAGAAAGGGATTCCCATATAAAAAAAGAGGTTGGAATCACAGCTGCTCTCTTAGGCAGTTCCCTGCTTTTCTCATTTTATGCAAGGAAAGGTCATTAATACTTTTAAAGTTCTGCTCGGTGGCTGAGAGTTACAGCAGAACTCCAACTAGCAGAAAGATTTTCAAAGAATCAACATTGGTCTCTCACGTGCGAAGGTCTGGATGCAGTGCTGTTCTTCCAGGCATGTCAGTGGATACTGCACACATCTGGGTGCTCCTCTGCAGCCACCTCCAGGGCATGCAGTCAGGGCTGTGTGATGGAAACCACTCATGGACTACAAAAGCCAGGGTGGTTCTGCTCGTTATGTCAGTGTTATGTAACCAAACCAGAGCAGTGAGATAAATGGACCCTTATTCTTTTTCCTTGCCATATGGCTGTTGTGAAATTTTTCATTATCACAAGTAATCAAGGTGATGTCACGCCTCATTCAGTACACCATGCCCCAAAATATCCCGGCTTGCTCCTCTCAATAGCCAAAGAAATATTGTGTTCTGCTACTCGAGTTTTAATTTTGCAGGCTTAGATCCCAACACAAGTCTGGGCTGGCTTTATGAATTCCGATGAGGATGCAGCTTAATGTGGCAGTCTGATAGAAACAGACTGAAGGGAGGCGAGGATTTAATAGCCATGGCCCAAGTGCTCAGCTGGTAATGAAGAAGGCTTGTTATTACTCATTTGCATTGCATAAGAATGAGATCCAGGTCCAGGCTTAATAAATTCCTTCACATATGAAATAACCTTCCTATTTTCTTTCAAGGGGCTCTAAGTCCAAATTCAGAGACAAAAATGCAGGCACTGATGGATGAAAGGGATGGCTGAGCACCAATCAGCCTGGAGCAACTCTTCTGGGCACCAAAGGCAACAGCAGCACAACCAAAGGCAAAAGCAGTCTCTCAGAGAGAAGTTGTGTTACTGCACGTGGAAAAAAATCCCTGCAGCAGTGGGGATGGTGTGGCTGTGAGCAGCCTGGCTGCGAGGAGCTGCAGGTGGGTTTGCAGGAGTCTCCCCACAGTCGCTTCTCTGGTGTTTGCCCTCAGAGAGCAGAGAACGCCCTGTCCTGAGGGCAGTGTCTGCTTGATACGCAGGGCTCCGGGCAGCCTGGCTCAGCAATGGCTCCTGCAGATCCTGTCTGGATGGAAATAGCAATTATTTTTCCTCAAATACAAGTGCTTTTCATACTTCTAGGTGCTCACGCTCAGGCATCGCATTGACCTAGCGAGAGGCATCGCACCACAGCAGGAGTGTGAATGCTCTAGGTAGGCACTCTCAGAAACCAGCCTAGATACCAGAAGCAGCGTAAGTGCAGACGCAGTGCTGCTTCTGAGTTAAATGAACCTCTCAGAAGGCACAAACCGCTGCAGAGCTCAGTGGGCAGCTGGCAGAAGCTTGGATTTCTTCACACGGCACCTGCTGTGCCATGTCAGCACTTCCCTGAATGGAAAGGAGCAGCGAGCAGCACACCTCGCCTGCCCTGCTGTGGGCAGTAACAGCACAAACCCTTCACAACAGCTACTGCAAAGCTTCAGACTTTGGGAGAGACAAAGCTACCCAAGAGCAGCATTGCAAACAGGTACCCATGGAAACGTGTCAGTGGCTTACATCCATCTCAGCAAGTCCTGGAGCAGCAGGGGACTGGGGAACAAAGCAGCAGGCAGAAGCCTGCTGGCATGACCAACCTGTGTGCCCCTCACAGCTGCAGCCCTGCACAATCAGCACCATCAGTTCTGCAGGCTTTTGGTCCATGATATCCACACGATGCAACGCAAAGTTCACACACTGCTACTTTTCTCAAGTTGTGCACAAGAGATAAGAGGTTGGAGTTTATGTGATGCTTCCCTCTTGTTTGACTGGGAGCTGTTCAGCACAGCTGCGTTTCTGCATGGAGCTCTGTTGGCAGGAGCAGCCACTCACTAACTTCTGCAAGCCAATGTCTCCAGTGCAGGTCCTAAATGGAATTTCCAAAGTGACTTCCTCCACAGCAGCATGCTGCTGCTCCACAAGCAATGAAGGGGTTGATGGAAGGAGTCCCATTAGCCAAACCCTAGGAGTCTGCGCTTCATGGGGCTTTCTCCTGATGCCAAGGGGAGCCTGAGCCCATTCTGCAGGGTCTCCTCACAGAGGGAACAATGCCACCAGTTACCTTGCTACATTCTTTCCTGCTGCCTGCTTTGGTGCAAGGTTTCTAGAGGGAGCAGCCCCCCCCACACCTGCTTAGCTTCCCCCAGCCGTCAGCCAGTCCAGCTGTGGCTGATAGAGGGTCAGAAATGCCACTTGCCCAGCAAGCCTTCCTTCTCACCACGAGAACTGAATTGCTCTTACGTTTCTCCCAGATCCATCTGCTTTTGGAACAGCCTAGCCAGACATCACAGGAGAAGAAATAGATCTGTGCCCATTGCTGTCAGGGTCTTTCTAATGAGCAGTCTATTATGGTCAACAGCAGGAACAATCTGAGAGGCAGAGAAAAGCACTTTTGAAGCTGAGGCTTAGCTAGCAAAATACTCCTTTCTACAAAGATTTCAACCATCAGATCTAAACTCAGAAGTTTGGACTGTTCTCACGTTGCAGACATGGAGTATGCACAAGAGCTGAATGGGAATAAATAGCCACCCGTGAGAGCAACAAATCACTGCAATCCGATCTTGATTTGTACTCGGGCTTTAAAGACATTTTAATTAAAGAAAATGTAGAAATTGTAAGTACTTACTGTTTCTGCAATGACAATATGGAACATCATTTATGGATGTGCAGGGAGATGCAATAAAATATATTTGGAGATTGAATTTATTGCTGATTTATAGCTGTGGGTGCAGAACAAGCCTTACCTCCTTACTGTGCAGCTGCTCCTGCCTCACATCACTGTTTAGGGACTGGCTGCATGGAAGATTTCAACCAGGCTAAGGGAGAGAGTCTCATTGAAAAAGAAAGTAAAATGCTTTCAGAAGCAGCATACTAAATTAATGTTCCAGGCAGTTTAGAAAGCATCTGTGCTTGCTCATTTAAAAAATAAGACTGCCAGGGTTGGAACATGCCTCCTTCCATCACACCTTCATTTTGGGCTTAGGAAGGCACTCTCTCCCAGCTCCAGGTGCGGTGGTGCCAGCAGAGAAGATAGCAGATATCCACAGCTGCATGAACCCACTTCTCTCAGTTGGGCTCTGAAAGGATGACAAAGCCATCAGCCTGAAACCCACTGCTGGGAGAGGCCTCTTTCCCAGCGTACAACCCATAGGTGTACAGAGATTAGGCTAAGTAGGCTCATCACTGTGGAAAGACAATAAATGAAAAATGCTCACCGGTGTTGTAGGCTCACACCAAACTCCACAAGAAGCAATCTCCAGAAAGAGAACCTTCCTCAGCGGCAGTCAGCTGTTAAATGGGGTCTAGGAGAGCTGCAGCCAGGCTCCACCCCTTCTGGTAGCACAGGTGAATTGCCTTCACCCCTGTTCCTGTGGCTGATGCATTGCTCGCCTCAGGTGGTCAGTCAGGTTCAGGCTGTGACCGACAGTTCCCATGTGCCCAGCCCTTCCTGCTGAGCAGCCCAGGTCTCACTGCAGGGAGCAGCTGTGGCCATGCTGCCAGCCTCTGCTGTGGTCAGGCACCTGCAGGGCTGTGAGAGGACACAATTAGGAGAAGCGAACCTCTTCCTACTGTAGTCCTACAGGACTGCTGATGTTGGTCTGGCTAAAAGCAAGATTGAGGTGAAGGGCAGAAGGGCTGGCAGCCAGGGCACAGGAGGATGGAGGGGACAACTCTCAATTGCAGAACAGCCCTGCGTCCTTACAGACTGTGCTGGGACTTGGGTCACCTCCTGGCCACGAGCTTTCAGAAGATGAACGCATTTCCTTACTCCCAGACATGGAGCTGTCTCTGCACCAGGCTCAACACCTCCAGGTGAGCGTGAAGCAGCTCAGCTGTCACCCAGCCCATACCTGTGGTCGCTCCAGGGATCCACACAGATGAGAGCCCAGATGGAGCACAGCTCTCCTGGTCTCATGCCAGCTTCACTGCAGTTCTGCATCTTGGAAGCACTCTGGTTAGTGTGTCTGGAGAGAAACATTTCAGAGACCGTCTGCTCTTCCAGTTAGTGTTTTCCACCAAATATATCTCCGACAGCCCGTGAAGTTTCTGGGCAATGTGATGAAAGCATCCATGTTCATCAAAGCAATCTTTGATTAGCTTTTTAACAAAGTACTTTTACCGAGGCGAAAAATAGACCACATCCAGGTTTAAAAGCCATTTTCTCCAACCCCTGATGTTACCTTCAGGTGCCACAATACTCCAGTAACAAGGAGATCATCCTGCAGTGGCACAAAGCTCTTTGGGAGGGAAGCCCGAAAAGCTGCATGTGCACCTCCAAGCACCTCACCCTCCCCTCCCCACTTGAATTTTGGCAGAATTTTATGGAGAATGTGGTTACTTCCATCTGTCTGCAGCTGGAAGGAGAACTGCCCAAGAGCAAAGCCAGCTGTGAACGCATCTGGAAGCAGACAGACTGAATCCAGCACTCTGCCATAAACAGACATGCTACGTCCCCAATATCAAAAAGCACGGGTGTTCAGACAGGCTGCGAATCACGCAGCAGACAGGAGAAATCCATTTAGAGGCTCAGGGCGCTCTGTCAAAACTACCCCAGCCCTGCACACAGCACCCCAGCCTGCTTCTGACCTGGGCAGCCAGCTCTGCTCCTGGGAGGGACTGTCCCAGAAGACCCATGGGCAGCAGCCGTGCTCCTGCAGCCTGCAGAAAGCACTGCAGCTAATGCAGCATCGCGTAGCCGTGATTGGATGGGGACACTTGGTTGTGGAAAAAGTTCATCCAGCCTGGAGATCTGAAATCATGTGGAGCCAATATAAGTAACTGAAACTTTCCACTAATGTTTCGCGTTCTGCTCCCACGCACCAGACAGTGCTGTGTATTTCTGTGTGCTTGTTTGGCTGATTTGGGGCGACCTGAGGAATTATAAAATGAAAGCTGAAAATTTCCCTGGATAATCATGAGCTACAAAAAGCCGTGAGCCAAAGGGAAGATTTTCAGGCTGTCCCAGAGCTTGGAAAATCTTCCCAGGCACACGGCACAGTGCTGGCAGAGCACATGCTCTGGATTTGGCTGCAGAATGTAGATGTATTTTTTAAATGTACAGACATCTCGTAAGCGCATATAAGGACACAGCGGGACCTGTAAGATCACAGCAGCTCAGCGGGGCCAGGCTGCAGGAGTCACAGCTGCCTGGGTTCTCTGCCAAGGAGCAATAGCAGTGAGCCAGAGACCAGGTGACTGTATAGGGATGCTCCCACCACGCTGACCAGCACAGTATCCTTCAAAAGAGTGAGAGCGCAGCTGCAGTCACATATATTCCACCTTCCGTGTGGAATACACCATTCTCCTTAAAGCAGGGGGTTTGTGGCATATAGGGAGAATAAATCATCCTGGACATATTTAGGGATGTCCTACACTCCCTCACCACTCCCTCAGGAAACTGAAAGTGGAGAAGCTAAAATAAATTGCAGAGATGAGCAGTAATTTATTTTCCCATCTGGAAAAAATAATTTAACTACTCAATTAAATATTGCCTACAGCCATACTATTACAGTTGCACATCCCATCTGCATTACAGACAGATCTTGGTCCCTTATTACTGCCCTTCTTGCTGGCTGGTACTTAAAAATTCTAGTTTAATTAGATGACACCTTCCACAAATGCTACACTATTGGCACATGATAATTAAAATAGTATGTAGGAATTTCTGCCATCCAAGAAACCTTCTTAGGAATCATGTGTTTTCTTATGTGCAGTATGGAACAAGTAGATGACACGTTATTTCTTAGCTCATGTTGTTTTGAGGCCCAGGACTTCAATCTGAACTCCTTTCTCTCTCTTTCTTTCCCCCCCAACAGTTTTTACCCAAGACCAAATCAATTGTTTGTGCAATTTAGTTTCCATTGATTTCTCTGAAGTGTTTATCCAATATTGAAATACACTGCTTTAATACTGAGTTAAGAAGTAAGTATCCCCATTAAAAGGAGCTTTAATTCTGATTGCAGTTATTACACCTAATTATAGCTGTCTTGAAACAACCCAGTTGGGGAGGTTTGTGTGCGATGCCTGTGCGTGTGTAGTCAGCTCTCTGATCTACTGAAATATATTCAGTTATTTCCCTGTCAAACGTAACACTGCATGGACAAAGATGTGCCTCAGGCACTTGTTGCAGGAGTGCTGTTAAGGAGGTGGCTGGAGCAGCAGAAAGGCACCTTGCTCCATGTACCACCACCTCCGTAGCAGGTGGCCCCCTTGTAGGCAGCCACCTTCAGGTGTTCCCACCAACCCCACGTGCGTTAACGTCTCTTCTTGCACAGGGGAACTGGGAAAATGCAGGTGAAGAATTTTCCCCGTGAGCAACCCAAGTCATGATCAAAGCCTGCTGACTCACCTTCCCCCACCTTCCATCTGCCTTTCCCCATCAGTAGTCCACCCTCTGTATGATGACAAAGTGAGGTATGCAGAACGCAGTCTGGAATGCATTTATATTTATGGACTAGCTCAATTGGTTCCTCCATTAGTTTTGTCAGATGATTTTCCATCTCTTCACCCTCTATCCACCTCCACCATCTGCCTAAAGCTACCATCTGCTGAAACGTTCGGGGGAATTTACATGTGATTGAGAATTTTGTGTCGCAAATACAACAGAAGGAGGTGGATACTTTGCATTCACATGTGCTTAGAAAAAGCACTTCATGCTCCAGATCCCTGTGAGGGGCTCCTCAGGGGCTGCATCTTCCTAGCTCAGCTGGAACCACAGAATCATCACTTTACTCACTGAATTGCAGTATTTCCTTGTACCCTTTGCAGGGATGAGGGATTCCCTCCCTGTGGGTACTGTATGAGCAGACATAGGAGAAAGAATCTGGCGCTCTGGTCAATACCTTCTGTGTACATGGCTTGCTCATGAAACCATCAAGGCAAAGCCAAGAGACTGAGTTCTCTCAATGAGCTTTACCCACTATATAGTTAAGGTCTCAAAGATTAAAACATGTGTGTGTATGTATGTATATACACATATATCTATACATATATATACATACACACACAAATCCCAAAGATAATTCTTCCACTGCTAGATTTGTAACACAAGCTCCCTACACATATCAGATCTCTGGGTACACATGCAGATGTTTCAGCCATATGCAGCAACATATGGCGTGCTTTTTGCACTAACTAGTCTTTTTTTTTTCCTGTGCAAGGCTATGAAACCATGAAAAACACAAACACGGAGCATCCCAGCTCACGTAGGATGAAGGGAACCTCTCCGCTGCCCCTGGCCTCCTGCAGGCGGAGCACTGCGTGCAGCTCCCCCCCCCGGGCTCCTGTCCTGGTGCACTCCAAACTCTGCAGAAGACCTCTCAGCTATGGGCACACACCATAGGAGCTCGTACTGCCCTCCATCTGAGCCCAGCACCAATGTGCAGTCACTGCACCTGGTGCCCCAGCGAAATGCTGCAGCTCGCTGTGTCTCCAAGCAGCAGGCTTTTCTCCATTCTGACCAGTGACCGCCTTCCGTGTTTGCAGAAGTTATTTGTAGGGCAAAGATGTTTTTCAGGATGCTGAAAGAAAAGTCCCTTCCTCAGACGAAATTCAATACAGGCACTTGGGATTGCAAAGGTCGCGGCTGTTAGGCTGTCCAGAGTGTAGTTCCTCCTGGTTACAGCAGCCGCAGAGCAGGAAGAAGAGGTCTGGGGATTCCAGCCTGGCTTGCAGGAAGTGTGGAAACAGACCCAGGAGATATTGAATCTTATAAAACAAACAGCAGATCGGCGTGTTTACAGTGTTGGATCACAAGGAGGTTTCAGGTCATCACAAAATTCCCCAGAAAGAAAACTCTGAGTACCAGCAGGGACCAGGGGGAGCTTAGCCCCAAACCCAAAGCAGCCTCATCCCTCACGTGTGGGGGCAAGGCCACAAGCTTCCCATTGCTGTGAAGCTACAACTGAACCACGGTAGGTAGAAGAGGCTGATGTGACAATCAGAAGGCAGATCCCTTTCACACTGAAGCCTTTCTGAATATGTTGATTTACAGAGCAGCTTCTATTTAACATATGCCTCCCACTGCACAACGTAAGTTCTAACTCTGGCAGCTTCCCTGTGGCTCAGGGTTCTGTCTCCTGTGTGCTCTGCACAACCTGCAGTTGACCACGCTTTGCTCCACACAAAACCAGTTTTCCAATCCCTTAAATGCAACATTGTCACTTGTGATACAAATATGAGCTGAGGTATAAGTGGAGCAATAAAATCATAAATTACTGAGATTCCGATTCTTCAAAGAAACGCTGCATTCTCTGCAGTGCAGAACTGGGGCAGCCTCCTCACAGCCAAGTGTACCTCCCAAATGCCCGTCAGAAGT